TGAGGAAAGGGAAGAGATTCTCTATGTCCTTTTGGATAACAAAAATTTCATTGAAATAGTTATGCTAATAACTAGCAGAATGAAACAGAAGCTGCATTTGTGGCATTCGGTCACAAATTTGAGGCTACTGTAGGCTGTATAGCAAGCTCCAAATTTGCCCAGCGTACACGGTAAGAGACTGTCTAACAGAAGGAGAAGAAACAGAATTTTTATTGCTCTATGCCAGATTATGTATTGAAATACCAAGTACTGTTCTTTCATAATTAAATGTATCCAAGTATCGGACTGGGAGATGGTTTGGTGTGTAATATACTTGCTATGCAGGCATGAGGATCTGAGTTTGGATCTCTATAATCCACGTAAAGCCAGATGTAATAGCACATACCTGTAATATAAGTGTTCCTTTGGCAGAATGGGAGGTTGAGACAGGAGAATCCTCAGAAACTTGTGGGCCAGCTAGCATAATGTATAGAGAGGCAAACACGAGACCCTTTCTCAAATGATATAGAAGGTAAGCCCTGATAACCAAAGGTTGTTTATGAACTGTACATAAACTGTAGTGTGTGCACCTGCATGGAAATGCAAGCTTGTATGTGCATGCACACACGATTGCACACGCACGTGCGTGCATACACAAAGACTAAAGATCATTTCCTAGTTGAACTATGATGTTATTTTTTTTAAATGAAGTACACCCAATTTGTTGTACATTTGTGGCAGATAATTTCAAGAAAAGTTACTAGAGCATCACAGTGAAATAAATCTCTCTTCCTGTTTGCCAGTCTGACTGTGTGTCCCACATTGGAGGAATCAGGAGAGCCTCATTTATAAGTGAATTTCTTTTTTTGTTAATTTATTTTTTTAGTTTCATTTAACATTCCATTCACAGTTTATCCCCACCACTGCCTCCCCCACATTCCTCCCATCCTAAACCCCATCCACTCCTCCCAACAGGTAAGGGCTTCCATGGGAAGTCAACAAACTCTGGCCAAAGCCCAAGCCCATCCCCCCTGCGTTAAGGCCAAGTGTGGCATCCCACCATAAGGAATGGGCTCCAATAAACTAGCTCACATACCAGGAAGACAGATCCTGGTCCTGGTCCTACTGCCCCTACTGCCAGGTGCTTCACAGATAGTGCAAGCTTCACCACTGTCTCCCATATATGGAGGGCCTAGTTCATTCTCACGGAGGCTCCACAGCTGTCGGTCTAGAGTTCGTGAGTTCCCACAAGCTTGGTTCAGCTGTCTTTGTAGATTTCTCCATCATGATCTTGAACTCCCTTGCTCATATATCCCCTCCTCCCTATCCTTGATTGGATTCCCAGAACTCAGCCTGGTGCTTGATTGTGGATCTCTGCATCTGCTTCCATCAGTTACTGGATGAAGGTTCTATGTTGACAATTAAGGTAGTCATCGATCTGATTACAGAGGAAGGCCAGCTCAAGCATCCTCTCCACGATTGCTTGGAGTCTTAGCTGGGGTCATTTTTGTGGATTCTTGGGAATTTCCCTAACACCAGGTTTCTCCCTAACCCCATAGTGGCTCCCTTTACCAAGATCTCTCTCCATTGCTCTCTCACTTCACCCATCTCCCCCTCGACCATCTCATTCCCTCAAGTTCTCATTTCCCATCACTTTCCCTTCACTGCCCCCCCCCCCCCCCCCAGTTTACCCAGGAGATCTCATCTAATTCCCCATCCCTGGGTGATCCATGTGTTCCTCTTAGGGTCCTCCTTGTTACCTAGCTTCTTTGGAGCTGTGGATTATGGCCTGGTTATCCTTTGCTTTACATCTAATATCTACTTATGAGTGAATATGTATTGTGTTTGTCTTTCTAAGTCTGTGTTACCTCACTCATCAGTGGATTTCAAATCTGTTCTGGCCACCTAAGAATGGGTACAACTAGTCAAAGAGATGCTGGATGTGACTGGGCCAGTAGATGGCATCAGATAACACAAAATCTCCTCAGCGTTTTGAATGGCTGGCCAGCTAGGCGGTAGATGTATCTGTTTCTTATTAACACAACCTCAGCTGCATCCAGCATCTGAAATGGTAATTAGCCTGGTGCCGTTGATACCCAGATTTGTTGAGGGTCTACCAGGAAATTCAGAGGGTGTGAAAACGATCATGTGTGTTTTAGGAGAATTTCACTGCCCCTGGTAGGTATTGGAACCTTCAGCGATTGCATATAGGAATAGAACTCTTTTGTTCTCAGTTTTTTTTTTTTAAAGGTTTATTTATTTATTATGTACAAAGTGTTCAGCCTCCATGCCTGCAGGCCAGAAGAGGGCACCAGATCTCATTACAGATGGTTGTGAGCCACCATGTGGTTGCTGGGAATTGAACTCAGGACCTCCGGAAGAGCAGTCTGTGCTCTTAACCTCTGAGCCATCTCTCCAGCCCCTTGTTCTCAGTTTTGTATGGCAAGTGCATTTTTCCAGTTGAGCCATTTTGCTAGCCCCATGTATTTCTCCTTTTAAGGATCTTTTGTATTTTTTTAAATGTCTTCATGGCTTTACAGAGCATAGTCCATTATTCATGCATAGTTCTCAAAGATGTGAGCCAAGAGATGCATTTTGTCCTACTTTTCTTCATTGATTCCCTCTAGCCTTGAAGGACTTCTAGCTCCTTGCACATAAATATAATCCTAGGTGCTGTGGAGAACGCTCTTCCATAGCATCCTGATGTGCTAACTAATGACTCTTCCATGGCTTTCCGCAGAGAAAACATTCTGAGACAACCAAGAAGGTACAGTCTCCCTACAACCATGCTCAGATTCCCTAGAGTATTATTTCTTCCCATTTATTAAGAGGAAGGGAGGGTGGAAAGAAAGGGAAAAGGGGAAGGAAAAGGAAAGCAAAGCAAAGCAGCTTCATTCTGTTACTGGAACTTCTCACCTTGAGCTCACACTGAAGGGGAAGGGACACACAAAACCAGCTAATGGAAGGGTAGCAAAGATGCCATAGACATTTTAAATCTCTTACAACAAATTTATTGCTACTATTTTAGAATTTTACTAATAGCAGTTTTTTTCCTGGACATTGCTCTCCCATGACACTGACTAGTATTTCAGGGCTTTCTAGTGAGGAGGTAGAAATAGTATCATCATGGGTGAGGCGTCTCCCTCCCTCCCTCCCTTCCTTTTCTGAGACAGGGTTTCTCTGTAGCTTTGGAGCCTGTCCTGGAACTAACTATGTAGATCAGGCTGGCCTCGAACTCACAGAGATCCGCCTGCCTCTACCTCCTGAGTGCTGGGATTAAAGGTGAGTGCCACCACTGCCCGACTGACATTTTCTTTACTTAGCCATATTTTTCCTCCCCTCTGCCCTCATATTCAGCCAGTCTAGTTTATTTATCTCATCAGTTAACCAAAAAAATGAAAATAATGTAACATGAAAAACCAGCAGACAACGAAGAGCATGTGGTTAGAGCCTTCCTTATGAAGACTTTGAGGAATTCTATGAGGTACATTTCTGCTTTTATAATTTCTTAGTTCTGAGGTGTAATGAATTTGTCTGTTTTATTCCTTTTCTAGTTCCTGGAAAATCATTACAAAGTCAACATATTTTTTTTTTACACCTTGCATACTTATTGAAACTATACAGGTCATTAAAAGATTTGTGTTATAACGTTTTTTCGGTTTTATCTTGGTAAATAATCTCTCTTTCCACTTTCTATTCATTCTCTATGGATTTTCTGTCGTGCACCCCGGTTCCATTCATCTCCCTGTTCCTCCATATCCACCATCTGACCTTGCAACCTCCCCATAAAACAAAACAAACAAATTAACGGACAAACAAAAAAATTCTCACTGTGGACGCTGAGGGTGTCACACAGTGTACATTTTTGCCCAAACAGCTTTACTTGCAAGTGTTCATTGCAATGAGTCATTGAAGTAGTTCAAGGCTTCTGCAGGACTAGCCCCTACACAGGTTCTAGCAGGTCTTTGTTGGAGCAGCTGTTGGGGGATTGGGCCAACTTAACGACCTGGATCTGAGTCTAGGTGGTAGCTGAACCAGGGCCAGCTCTCCTGCTTTGCCAAGGGAGGGGTGGGGCCAGCTCTCCTATTTGTGGCAGCTGGCGAGGGGTGGACCTGTGGCAGCTGGCAAGGGGTGGGACCGCTCTCCTGTGCTCACCCATGGTGGCAATGGTCATGGACACTGGGCACGTAGTTGGGTGTTATTTTCCAGGCTGCCCCAGCCCACGGGGGCCAGGCCAGGCTGAAAATATTCTTTATTGTATACCATTCTTTAATATTTTGGCCTGTAGGAGAAAATGTGTAATCTCTTATTTACGTAAAGGTGTTCAGTGGGTTTTTTTCCCATTGTTTACTGGCTGAAAAATTGTCTACTGTGAGTTCATTTCTTTCTTAAACTGGAGAAGTAAAGATACCCTCATGCAGTGACTTTGAAGTCAAAGGGACCTTCTGTGGGTCTTCATGTGTGTGGCATTTCCCTGAAGGTATTTTGTTGTTGTTGTTTCGGGGGTACTGGAAATCAATCCTAAGGCCTCATGCATACTCCATCTTTTAAAAATGCACAAAGCAACAACAACAAAACAAAATAAGAGCTAGAAATGTACAAAACTCTGGGTTCCATCCCCATCAGTACATAAAACTGTGCACGGGGGTCCACTTGAAGACTCAGGAGATGGAGGCAGGCAGATCAGATATTCAAGGCTAACCTAGGGTACAGGAGACATCTCAAAAGCTTATAGAATTTCTAACTGGCAAACAATAATCATACCCATTTATGGAAGAATAAATTAAAAAGACTTAGGGCTGCTTTAGAGCCTGTGATTTCCACTCACATGGCAACTTGGTCATTAACAAACATCAGAAATAATGTGCATGACCATATCTAACAGGAAGCAGTTGTAAAACATGCTGTGTATCGGGTGCCAGCAGACGCCACTAGTTTCCTCTGTTGGATTCCTACTGAGGTGCCAGCCAGGAAGGTGTCCAGGATGCAAAGTCCCTCAGCGTCTGCATTTTTTTTTCCAGGAAGAGTGATCCGAGTTGGAGGCCTCACTCCTGGCATGCCACCAAGGTCTCTGATACCTACCCAGAGCCAGCAGCCTCACTGTTTCTGAGCACCAGTGGGTCCCCTTCCTGGAAGAGCCAGCACCAGGCTAGGTGAGTATTCTTTCCCTGAGACCAGGCACCATGTGTGATCTGTATAACTGTCACGTTCTGTGAATACTCAGACATTCCCACGAGTGTCTTGACTTCTGAGCAGTCAAGACCACCTCTGCTCAGTTAGGATTAGAACTGAATGTTTCACAGCAAGAAAACAAAATGAAATGGCTAGACAAAGGATGAACAAGCTTGTTTTCTCTTGTGGTATTTCTTGTAGCACCCTGCATTTTTGGGATGAAGGCAGCTTGGTAATGGTGGATAACCTTTTGGATGTGGTTTTTTGTAATTGGATTCAGAGGTATTTTATCGAGAACTTTTATATCCATATTCTTTCAGAAGTAATTCTCTTTTTTGGTTGTGTTCTGTCCAGTTTTAGTATCAGGGGGTTGTTAGCTTCCTAAAAAGAATTTGGAAATGTCCTTGCTTTAATATTTTATGGACTATTTGAGAAATATTGATGTTATTTCTTGGATGGTTTGATAGAATTCTACAGTGAATCCATCTGGCCCTGGGTTTTTGTAAGTTGGAAGATTTGGAAGGGCTTCAAGACATGGTACCCAGAAGGTTAACAGTCAGTGTGCCCTCAGAAATGCCTTTCCTCCCCAGTTCTCAATTCAGCTACTGTTGAGCATCCTCATCCTTCTTAGCATACGTTCACAATGCTGTTTTCCTGAGATCTTGCTGTTTGCAAACCTTTTTTCTTTTTGTGCCCTTGTCCTCCTTAGCGTAGGTCCAGCTATGCTCACAATGCTGTTTTCCTGAGATCTTGCTGTTTGCAAACCCTTTTTTGTGTGTGCTTTTCCTTTGTAGTTCTTCCTCCCACGATTTGTCCAGCTCATGGGAGCACACAAGCCTACAGCGCACTGCTGAGCACTTCAGCTCTGTGGGCAGCTTAGACAGACTGGACCGCGGCTCCCAGCTCTCCCCATCTGGACACCTGGGTGGCCACGGCAAGCGAGATTCTGCTTACGGTTCCTTCTCTACCTGTCCCGGCACCCCTGACCACACCTTGCCCAGGGCTGATGCCTCTTCCACTGAGAACATTCTCTACAAAGTTGGCCTCTGGGAGGCCTCCAGGCCAGGCAGCAGCCGACAGAGCCAGCCTGCAAGTGATCCTCAGGGATTACAGGACAGGCCTTCATGTTCCACACTCAGGGTTTTTGGTAACAGCAGGAAAAGCCCAAGGCCAGAGGATAATGTTGAGCCGAAAACAACCACTTCTGGAAGGTCAAATTTTGGGCCTGTTTGGTATGTTCCTGACAAGAAGAAAGCCCCTTCTCCTCCCCCCTTTGCAGCTCCTTTGCTCAGTGATGGCTATGCTGTGGCAGCTGGAGGCCGTGAAAAGACACGGGACCCTCCATTTTCAGACTTTACCACCCAACCCCGAGGGGGCCATAGACTGGAAATGACTGATGGACAGTGTCGGCTGGCACACCCAAGCAGTGGCAAAGAAACAGGAAGCTTGGGTTACCAGCAAGAAGGCCACCTGGATTACCGTTGGTTATCCTCAGATGATAGAGTGGGTGGATCCTCAGGGGTCCCGGGCAGGCACCACTTGTCCTTGTCCAACACAGATGTCCACTTCCTGACGTCTTACCGTGGGAGCCAGCAGAGATGGCAGTGCACTGATGAGAGCCCAAGGGTCCCCTCATCAACGAGGGAGCTGCCTCATAGGACTCCTGGTGGGGGTTTGCAGGAGCCTCCTGAACCCTCCCGGAATGATGCGCAGGTGAGATGGTCTGGTTCTGCCAACCAGAAGCTGGATGATAGAGGGCGTGGCCATTATTTCTGTGCACCCCCCAGGCAGCCTCTGCAGGGGTGTGCCCAGGTTGTGACACCCCGAGGTGACTTTGGGCATTCAGACACACGTTCTGTGGACCTTGACAATCCTCTCTTGCCCTCGATGGGCCAGAGGTGCTATCTACAAGAGCATGAGGAGATGCTGGCCTCTCACGAAAGAGAGGGATATCATCCACGGGATGCAGGGATTGAAGGTTCCTGCTCAGGGATCCAAGAGCCTCTTCAAGCCAGCCACACTGTGAAAGCCAGGTCGCAGTGTCCTGATGGTGACCTCAAGTCGGTGGATGGAGAACGTGGGAGGATTTCTCGTGAAAGGACACCCATGCTGCACTCTCTGACCCAAGGTGGGGCATGGAGACCCGAGAAGCCACCGTCGCTTGACGCCCAGGTGGGTAGACCCATGCGAAGGAGTGACCGTTTTGCCACGACACTGAGGAATGAGATCCAGATGCGCAGAGCGAAGCTACAGAACAGCAAAAGCACCGTGACACTTGCTGATGACTGGAGAGCTGATGCGGGGGCTGTCCCGGAAGGTTCCTTCCCCAGCACCTATAAAGAGCACCTGAAAGAGGCCCAGACACGTGTCCTGAGGGCCACCTCCTTCCACCGCCGTGATTTAGGTCCCACCCCAGCAGATCAGTATCTGAGACAAGCAGAACACAGGACTTGTGACCGTACTGCCTCATCTTCTTTATCTTCCCCTGGGGAGCCAGACTCTGTCCCCAGCCTCTGGGAAGCAGGTCTGGCCAAGCCACCATCTTCTGGTGGTGGTGTGCCCCATCTTCTTCGAATTGGAGGCCGGAAACGGTTCACAGCGGAGCAGAAACTGAAGTCCTATTCTGAGCCAGAGAAAATGAACGAGGTGGGTCTGTCAGGGGACCACAGTCCTCATCCTAACATCAGGACACCTGAGGATACTGTGGGGACATTTGCTGACAGGTGGAAGTTTTTTGAGGAAACAAGCAAATCTCTTCTCCAAAGGCCAAGCCACAGGCAAGCTCTCTGTGGGCTTTCAAGAGGCAAGGCGGAGAGGCCACAAACAGGGGGCCGTGAATGTGAGGGTACAGAGTCCTGGTTCCAGAAGAGGTCACGGGCCACCTCCTGTGGAGAGATCCTCAGTGATAATGGACAAGGAGAAAAAGCTTCTGAGACATTGAACCCACCCAGAAGGCTTGGAACCTTTGCAGAATATCAGGCGTCTTGGAAGGAGCAGAAGAAACCAATGGAAGCCAGGAGTTCCGGGCGTTATCATTCAGCAGATGATATTCTGGATGCTGGTCTAGACCAGCAGCAGAGGACACAGTACATCCATGAACGGTCCCGGTCGTCACCGTCCACTGATCGCTACTCACAGGTAAGCAGTATACCGTATGCCATGGCCTCGCTTGTACCACCTGAAGACACTTAGGGTGTATCCAGCATGTATGAGAGCTCACTGAGGTGCAACAGTGTCATTTGTAGTTTGAAAGATAAGGGAATGAAATTGCTTCCTTTGTGCAAACACATCTCTTTCATCCCCAGCTCCCCTGTTCTAAATTTCACTTCACTGTAATATTAATTTCACTGAAATGCTGTAATATTAACAGCCTCATTTTCTTGTTAAAAACAAACTACTAGTAATTTTCTTAGAAGATAACCTCCATGCTGTACACGGAAGGAGAGTTGCTTGCTTGCTTTTAGCATTTGGTACTGAAACTCCACGCAGACCCAGGGAGAGCTTGCTTCTGCCACTGCTACATTCTGACTTATCCACACACAGTTCAGTGTGATCTCTGAGAACTCCATGCCTTCTCTGTCAGGAGTCAGAATCCCAGCCCCCACAAGTCCTAGCACGTGAGGTTTTGCAATCATGACTTGTGGCCAGCTGTCTTTTATTGTGTTTCTTTTGGCCGATTGTGTCACATGGTAACAGCCCTCATGTAGGAGTCCTGATTTCTGCTCAATGCAGAAGTCCGAGGTCAATGGTCTCAATTAAGTGTCTTATGGAGTTGAACAGCCGTGTCCTGTGACCAGGTCTCAAGTCTGAGACAACAGGCCTTGCCAAGGGCGTTGTGGGACAGGCACACAAAGCAAACCCACAAATGAGGGGTTTCATAATAACAGTCGTCTCAGGCATGAAGGCAGCTTGATGAGTCTGTGTCTCATGGTGTCGCTCTTCACAGGAAGTGCCTGTTGAGCCAGACAGGCAGCCAGAGGACTCTGGCGGGCACAAAGGAGTACCACAATGTACACTACAGGCTGACGAGGGACGTTCTGCTCCAAGGTGGGTGAATTGCGTTTGCTGAAAAGTTGTGTTGAGTGTGAACATATTTATGGAAGGTGAATGGGATGTTAATAGGACAAGTCTTGGTTTTGCTAATTGAGTGTGATTTCCACCATCACTAAGATCTTAGAGTTTTTAAGCGAGAGATCCCGTGGGTTCTGCAGCCCTGCCCAGAGAAGCAGGGCAGTAATAGCCTTTAGTGTTTCTTAAAGTAGCTGTTGTGTTTTTCTTAGAGTGAAATGCTTTATTGGGTCAAAATAAATGTCCAGTTTATCCTCCTTAAACAGAATCTTTAACTGGAGAGATGCTTTTACTATCTGGCACACAGCTGTGTTTGTAGGCCACAGTCTCAGAATTGTCAGAAAGGATTTTGGTAAAGCTTTCTAAATTGGGCTTGTTTAATGAGTTAACTTGAAGCTTTAAAATAGAAGTCATCTGACTTCCCAGAGAAGGGAGGAGGGCGAGCAAGATCTGTGCTCTTACACTGTTGCCTGCAACAATTCCAGATTGTTGGGGGAGCATATAATAAGCTGTTCAGAGGATAGATTCGATTAGATGTGTATATAATAACCCTGGTGGAAAGATGAAAATCAGCACACACCAGACTTTCTTGAGGGAAGATTTTCCTAATGTTTTATACATCCTATATGGCCTAGCATACAAGGCAAATTAAACACTGACTTCAAAGGTCAAGATTCTGCTGTAGAAATAACCAACTTAGATATATGCTTTCAAGAACTTTATGTAATGGTGTCTTATTTCACACATTTTTACACTAACTGTTGTTATCCGTATTCAAAACTATCCCACGTTTATTTGGTTGTGAAGGGACCAGATTGATACTCTGTGTGCCTGCCTCAGAAATCCCTGCAATTACTTAACAGTCTGCATAGCTAAACTGATGGAAGCCTGCGGAATAATCTGCCTACGGAATTTAACAGTGTCTGAAGAGGACAATTAGAGCTTTATTCCTGGGCTCTGAGTCAGTCACGTGCTGAGCAGCAGCTGTGCAGGGTAGGGGGCAGAGAATGTCACCATGGACAGCTATAATGTGCATGAGCTGTGTGTGCACACGTGATTATTTGTGTCCACAGCTCTGTCAGCACTCACAGGAATAGGAGGAAGGGAAGAGGGGCCTTCGCCTTATTTATCATGGCTGTGTCTCTCAGCTGGCTGCTTAGTGACTTAAAGAGATTAGTTCCAGAAGCAGCCTGCTTTTGAGTTTCAAACCTAGCAGTTTTCAGGATTGCATTTTGTGTGTGTGTAGTAATAAGGGCGGCAGGGCTGCTTCCCCAGCATCCCGGCCGCCTGCACGGCTAGCTTTACCTGAAATAATTACACGGACACTGTATTCTTTTAAACACTGCTTGGTTCATTCTCTTCTAGGCTAATTCTCACATATTAATTTAGCCCATTTCTAATCATCTGTGTGTAGCACCCCAAGGTGCGCTTACCGGGAAGATTCTAGCCTACGTCCATCCTGGGTCAGAGCTTCATCGGGTGTGTCTGCCCAGGAGAGGAGAGCGGAGCATGGAGTCTCTGTCTGAGGCGTCTTACCTCACTTCCTCTTCCTCCCAGCATTCTGTTCTGTTTACTCCACCCACCTATGTTCTAAGCTATGAGCCCAAGCAGTTTGTTTATTACTTAACCAATGAAATCAACAGATTGATATATGACACTCCCACATCGTGTGTGTGTGTGTGTGTGTGTGTGTGTGTGTGTGTGTGTGTGTGTGTGTGTGTGTTGAAGAGAGGCAAGGATATTGAAATTTTGGAATAGGAATGTTAGGTCATTTTCAGCTTTTCCTAGAGTATATGTTTCTAGAGGATCAACAGGAAATAATATGCTGGGGCTGGAGAGATGGCTCAGTGGTTAAGAGCATTGCCTGCTCTTCCAAAGGTCCTGAGTTCAATTCCCAGCAACCACATGGTGGCTCACAACCATCTGTAATGAGGTCTGGCGCCCTCTTCTGGCCTGCAGACATACACACAGACAGAATATTGTATACGTAATAAATAAATAAATATTTTTTTTTAAAAAAAGGAAAGAAGGCCGGGCGATGGTGGCGCACGCCTTTAATCCCAGCACTCGGGAGGCAGAGGTAGGCGGATCTCTGTGAGTTCGAGACCAGCCTGGTCTATAGTGCTAGTTCCAGGACAGGCTCCAAAGCCACAGAGAAACCCTATCTCGAAAAACCAAAAAAAAAAAAAAAAAAAAAAGGAAAGAAATAATATGCTTGAGAAATAAAAGGATCATAAAAATAATAGGCAGTCTAAAATGCAGAAGTATGAAAATACCTAGTGACCTTCCATAGGTTTAAAGTAACATAAACATGTCTCTATGGGAAATGAATTATTGATCTGGTATTTGATACTTGAAATAAAATTTTGTTGCATTCTGTTGAGATCATACAAAAATGTTGACATAGGAGTTACTTTTATTTGCTGATTATTCACCAAAGTCCAAACAGAAATAACTTTTTAATATAATTTTTTTCCTATTTTTTGCGATATGATGTCACTTCCCACCCAGAAATTCCCTGTGTAACACAGGTTGGCATCAGACTTGTGCTGATCCTCCTACTTCAACACTTTCTGGGATGACAGGGATGAGATATCATATCCCACTAATAACATCTTTTTTGTGCATGTGTGAAGGATAAGCTCCTGCAAGACCATACCATGTAATGGGGAAAGAATTACAAGTATCTGTAACTGAAAGGAAACTACTTCATTCTTTTTTTTTTAACTATGTGAGAGCAACATGTGGCATATGTCTGTAATCTCAGCACTCAGGAGGCTAAGAAGGGAGCTTGTACATTCAAGATGAGCCTTAGACTATAGAACAAAACCATGTCTCAGAATTAAGAAACAAACATAGAAAGGTACATGGCACATGAGAAATCATTAAAGTCTGTTGGATTAAGGGGAAAACACATTGTAGCTGGGTAGCCTGACCACAAGGTAGCGGATACAGTGGCATTTTCTCCCTTCCTCCATCACATCTGGTCCCAAGCGGCCCATCTCACATGTTCTGAAGACATTTTTCTTAGAGGTTCCAACCGTCCTCAGAGATTTCATGCTGAATCCTCAAGTTTATTACAGCCAGCTGGGTCTGTTTCTTGCAAATGCATTCAATCACTGATATGGGAGTCCCTTAAAGACTCGGTGTCTGATTTCTCAATGACTGTTATTAAAAAGTGGTCTCACAGGGACTGGTGAGATTTTCCAACTAGTAAAAGCCCATGCCACCAAGCCTGCAGACCTAAGTTCCATCCTTGGAATACATAAAGTGAAAGGGGGAGAAACAACTCTTGTAAGTTGTCCTCTGATTGTGTGTGTGTATGTGAATAAACAGAAATGCAGTGGAGACATTTTTAATGTCCTATAGCCTGGATAGCTTAAATAGTAAGCACTGATTTCTTCCCAGCCCTGGAGGCTGAAAGATCAAAGGGAGGGTGGTTCCTCCCAATGCTTCTCTAACTTCTGTGTAGACTCTAGCGTCTTACTGTGCCCTCATTTGCTTGCATTGTGTATCTCTGTTTCCTAATCTCCAGTTCTTACAAGGACACCAGCCAGATTCGTTTTTAGTAATCCTACTGACCTCCTTTCTCCTTAACCACCACTCTAAATGTCTTGTTTGCCTACATAGCTATATTCTGTTAGGGATAAAAGATAGAGGTCATCTAGACCATGTGTGCTGCTACTTACTGGCTTGATCCCAGGGCATGGTGTGCCCTTTTTTGTGGAAAGAAATTGTCATGCTAAGTTACTTTCACTTTGTTAGTATGTTCCTTTTTGTGACACCAAATTAGTCTTTCCTAACATCTTCAAAGTCGATGTCCATCATACTTTGAACAGAGTTATCCTCTGCAGACTGGGATACTGGGAGCAGGATTCAATATCATAGATATATTTCCACACCATTGTCCTATTATCTAAACTCCTCCTCCTCGTTCCTGGTGAGCAGTTTGGAAGAATAGGATTTTAATTTTTCTTTGCTGTTTATCACACATGGTTCTTACACAGATTAGGTGCCAAATAAGTGGTTGGTGGATGAGTGCATTGGTGAATGGATAGATAGGTGATAAGTGTAGAGATGGGTATTTGAATGGATGAAGGATGGGCACTTGGATGAATAAGCAGAGGGATAGAGGGAGGAATGAGTTAATAAGGATGGGTATTGCATTACGGTGTGTGTGTGTGTGTGTATGTGTGTGTATGTGTTTGTGGCTTTTTAATCAGGTTCATTGGGCATGACAGGTAGCAACAGAGAAATCTTAACCTCCACAAACAAGCACAGGCAGAATCAGCAGTTGAAATGCATTTATTGCGGGTGAGGAAACATATATATGAAGCAGACACATAGAGAAAGTAACCCTCTCTGAAGCCTACTGGGGATTCGTGAAGCAAAAAAAAAAAAAAAAAATCCAGACTGTTCTTAACAAGAGAAAAAGCCCACAAGGCCTTTGTTTTGAGCTATCAGATTTTTGTCTCAGGTCAGGAGGGTGAGGAAGAAGCAAGCCATCTTGGAAGCTCACTATCTTCAGTACCTAGCTATGGCCTTTCTCCCTACATGATGGCCTGCCAGAGAGTCTTTCTAACTCCCAGGCTCTCAGTTAGATAAGTGGTTGTTTGGATGGATGAAAGAGTAGATAGATGGTTGGAAAATTGAATGGATAGATAGATGGATAGATGGGTGGGTGGTGGATAGATGGATGGATAGACAGATGGATGGATAGATGGGTAGGTGGGTGGATGGATGGATGGATAGATGGATGGATGGATGGGTGGATAGATGGATGGATGGATGGATGGATGGATGGATAGACGGATGGATGGATAGGTAGGTGGGTGGATGGATGGATGAGGGGTTTATAAAAGGATAGATAGATCGATGGATGTTGGGTGCATAGATGAATGAATGAATAGACAGACGGAAGGATAGATGGATGGACGGATGGACAAATGGATGAATGGATGGAGATCAGTTAATGGTTG